GAAAAAACAACTCTGAACTTCAACAAAAAAAATCTAGTCAAGGACATTTATTGAACGAATCTAATTCAAAATTCCACGGATTTCCGTTTAGTTGACAACATTTTAATGGGATTTTCGTTCCGACATTGCTCAAATGGTGCGTTTGCTATCCGCACACATCATAATCAGATGGTCTGCAACGATTCATGTAAACGTCCTGTTAATTCAGCGTGGGTGATTGTGAAATCGGTGATTAAACTTGGACTGCCACGAACGATGAAGCAAAAGATAATTGAACCCGTGCGCATAAAAACGACTTATAAAAACGTCGCCGAACAAAGCAGAACACCTATTTGTTACTCGTTCAATTCGGAACAAATTGTACACTGGTATGTTACGCCGACAAATCTATGTTACGTTTTGATCGGCGATTTTTTTTTTTGTAATTCGTTTTTATGCTCACGGGTTCAATTCTCACATTTAAAATTCAAATAGTGTGTTCTGCATATTGAGAAAGTTCATAATAAACGCTTTATTTCTTGTCGATTTAATGATATTTTATGAGCTCTTTGGTGAGCTAATTATAAAACTGGTTGTGCTAATATTGGCAAGAACAATGAATGTATCATGCGCTTACTCACACACTCTTTTCCCTATTTCTCTCTGTCTTATTCTCCTTACACTTGTCAGCCGTTTCATTGAATCAAGTCCATGTTCATTGTGAGGTTGTGCTCTTACAAATTGAAAGCAAACACACACAGCGAGTGAGAGATAAAAATCTGTGAGTTGCCGTTCCAGATCTCTTCTTCAATTTGGATGTACTGTACTCGCTCATTTGCTCGCTCACGCGCCCCCGCATACATAATAAACATTACAATCAAATGTCGAACAAATGTCGCGCACTTTTTCTCACTTTCTCTCCTTCGATCTTTTCTCATTTATTTTTATATAAAACTCACTTGGTGAATTATCTATGTGCAAAAGTTTGATATTTTTATTAAAGTTTATTTTTATGCATGCCATAATCTATAGAAAACTTTTCTGTTGCCGCCACACTCTTGCTCTCTCTCTCTCTCTCTCTCTCTCTCTCTCTCGCTCACACTTTATCTACTGAGACGTGAACGAATGATTTTGTATGTTTTGTTTGATGATGCTATTGACTTTCCATCGTTGCTATTCGCTATCGTTACTGTCTCTCTTTCTCAATCCTGAAGCTACAAACAAATAGCGTGGCAAAGTAGCAGAGAAATCGTGTACAAGCATTCCATCGACTGATTCAGACATCGTTGTTGTCGTCGTCAATTCATATTTGTTACAAGAACATAGATGTATATTTTTGATCCAAAACCAAGTGAATCGCATACAGAAATTACGATGAAGAAAGTTCTAAATAGCATAAGCCATTGAGTGAACGGGCGAAAATGGAATGGATATTGTGAGAGGAATTAAAAGCATGCCATCAAGAATCAATATAAATGTCTGAATAAACATCTGAGTATCATTGGCTTTTGTTTTTCGACTTTCGATGTGAGTGCATGCGTGTGTGTCTATGTGTGTATGCTTGTGCTTGTGTAATTCTCACACAAAACATGCCAATCGTAGCGGAAACAGTTCTGATTATAGACAACATACACTTCAACGCTTCTGACTGAAATGACAAATCCACTATAGGTTCTGCAAGGTCTTCGTCATTAATGATTTGTGTGCACAAGGCATATATCGCACACACACACACACACACACAATGCATAAGTGAGAGCCATCCAAATGCCAAATGAATGTGGCTGCAAACATAGAAAAACACAATCACAAATAAATGTATGGTAATGGTGCGAGAGAGAGAGAGAGAGAGAGAGAGAGAGAGATGTCGCGTCATTGTTTGATCGCTTCACCGGAAAATCCATGGGGTGGATCAATGCATTGCATCGGACACGCAAATAATAGTGTGGTGATCGATTTAACTACAGCTAAACAATATCGTTTGGATACCATTATTTCAACGATTTTTATGGACACACATTTTATTCCAATAATAAAGTCACACATTTATTTGATTCGATTTCTAATTTTAACATTCGCGAGCATTAGAATTGTTTACTTGAATAAATAATCTGCAATGAAATTTCCCTGATTTTGATTTCCAATGTTATGGAATTCTATAGGATTTTTTGTTCACTATCATCACTGCGAAACACACACATCAATCAAAATCACAACGCTATAAATGTTTCAAAGCATGGCTGTTTTCAGTTTGACACATGATATTTTTACTCACATTGAAATTTTCAGTGCCAAACTATAAATAGTATTCCAATTTCAATGGAGTTTAGACCCAATTTCAACCATTTTTTCGCGAAAATTTTCATCAAGAATAATTTAAACTATTACACTCGTTAAACAATTGTGATAAATACGTTTTAGAGGCTCTAGTTCAGCCTGACAATTTAATTTCATTGACAATTTCAAATTCAAATAATCTCAATTTCCCTGGCAAAACGATGACTTTTGCTCAAACAACACACGAGTAGTTTTTGTTCGAGCGAAATTTTACTACATTTCAAAAAATTTGTGCTACTCTTAAATGTCAAAAGTGTTGGTTGTGCTAGAGGGTTAATCATTTGCCGTAATCTATATTGAGAACACATGTTTTGTACACAGAATAATGCATTGTATTGTTTGAAAACCGCGATTCTGTGTGGCATGAAAGTTGTTGATACATCCACGATAATCCTCTACATTTGTTCAACAATCGACGATCGTTTTGACTTATGAATTATTATACGCTCGTAGCAGTGCTAATCGCAAAGGCTTCGCAAAATGAAGAATGGAATAGTATGGCTTCTCGTTTGTAGCATCATCGAGTTACTGGGAGGAAAACATTTTTCTCTTGTTGTTGTTGTTGTTGTTGAGTGATATTAAGATGTTTCATATTCAAGCGCCACTTCATCACATTCGTAACAATCTGAATAGTTGAAAGTTTTCATGTATACACACTTCAAGAACACTATAACAAAATTTCTTGTCGTCACATTTGCCGCCCGAAGATAAGCGAATGCTGAACTCTGGTTGAACGGAAAATGCAACAGGTTCGGGTGAACAAATTAAATTGTCGTTTCCGTTTTCGAAACATTTTCAAATGGCGCAACTTTCAACTCTTCGTTTGTGCAGTTTTCGATAGATGTGCGATAAGGTGCTGAGATACCACAGTGCTGACAATCTCACTTTGCGAAATGTTCAAAATAATGGATCATTTATGGAAATAAATTGAGTGTGAGTGTCAGTTGTTGAGCATGAACATCGAAACGATGGTGTTTACCAAAATCATAATGTTTAATGCTGTCATATTTAGCAATGTGTTTGACCGAGTAACACATGTTACGGCATTGAAGAGATCCGCATCATATTTACATGTATGCAAAACTACTACACACGCTGTAGTACAAAACGTGTGTGCTTTGTGTTTTGTGCTATCATGTTTCTGCTATCGTTTATATATAAATTTGATGTTCCGCTATGCAAATCGTAGCCCGAAATGTTCGACCTTAGACAAAGAAGAAATAAACAACAGGTGAATCAATTATGGTTTTATTCAAGCATGGACGTGGAAAATGTTGAGGTGTTGTTTGACTATTGCCGTATCTTTTGCTAGTTTCATTTGGTTTAATGGCGGCAATCAGATGCCAGAACTTCTCCTTGGAATTGGACTCATTCATTGTTCTCTCAATCTGGCTGTTCATGCAACTCTTACGTTACAGTTAATCGTATTTAACGATCTCAAATGTGCAGTGGCAAAGCTGGGCGAAAGTGAGTGTCCAAATCGCGGCTAGAACACTTTCAATTTGCGCCTCAATAAATCGAAAGCATGTGTGAACGCACTTCAAACCGAAGAGCCAATAAACAACAAGCGGCTACCAAACATTAAATGGCACTGTGAAACAAATTTTGAGCAAATCTCTTCTCCCATTCGCATATAATAGCTATAGGGACTGCGTAAGCACTTTGGAAAAGTTCGTTGCCCACATATAATCGTATATTCATATAGAAGCATTGGAACGGAAAGTTCATTTGGTTCTCAAAGGTTTTCCATGATTCAACGGCATTCAATCAACGTATTATCAAACGTATGAAATATAGAAATAGCAAACGTCCGAATGTTAATTTTTTTGGAAATCTCTACACAAAATGCCTTTGTCTATTGCCTTTGCAAAGCAAAATATTTGTGCTTCAGTTGTGTGCGTGCGACGAAGACGACGGCAACAACAACGAATAAGAGTCTCAACCAAAAACCATTCACACAAATTGATGATCATTTAGAATGTGGCCATTTATAAATGGGAATCATCGAGAAGAATCCATTGTCAAGCAAAAACTATACATATATTTCATATTGTGCTTTCGTCTGACCCATGAATGCGACACAGCAAGACGGCGTTTGCAGTCGGATGGAAATTAGATGGACAATATTCTAAAATGATTCATTGGGTGGATTATTTGACGAAAAAAAAAAAACGAAAAAGGAAAGCGGCTATCTAGAACGTAATCACAACATGATGTTGTTAGCTACCATTCTTCGTATGCAAATTTGGTTTGGAAAATTCTGTTGGTGGCATTTTTTCGGTTCACGATGACAACATTAGCCGAACTTTAAACTTTTGAAACCAAAAAAAGATGATGATGATGATGATCACCATCAGCTTCGGAATAATAGGCTAAACTGAAATGGCCTCCGCAACAAATGGGTTGTGTTGTTACATTAGCTTTAGCTATTTTGTGTGTACACATCAAACATATTCGATTGATTTTTATTGAAATGTATTACTCTGCGGGGAGAATTATAAATTATTCAGCATTTTAAATATAAAATTTATTCGTGTTTTGAAATGTATATCGTAATTTCGAGCCAAGCGGCACACCGACGAGAGCGTATCTGCTGTGTGTGTGTGTGTGTGCCATGCTGTTGCCATTTCCAATTTTTTCCCAATATTTGTCATAAATATTCGCTTTTGCGAATGGTTCGTTCGTTTTTTTTTTGTTCAGTCTTGTCCATTACGTGGTCTCGCGCGTGCGAGCAACCAAATGAAATCCAAACGACAACAACAACGAAAAGAATGCTGCTATATCAGTTATGAAAAATTAAAAATACTTCACAAGACGTCGGAAGTTATTTGGCTGTTGTTTTTCGGTTTTTTTTTCTGTTGCTTTATCAAAGCAGTGAATAGTTTTTATTGCTTTACATTTTGTTAGTGTAAATTTGTTGTTGTTGGTCCGATTTGTTCCACATTGGCGGCCTTACTGTACTTTTTTATTCCATCGTTGTTTTTTATTTCGTTTTTAGTCCTCTATGGAGAGATAAGAGGGTGTGCGCAAAAGTGATATCACATTTTCTTTCTGTATTTAGCAAAATGAGAACTTGAAAAATCAAATATTTTGACAATCGGCAAATGACATAAGTAATGTAGAGCGAGAGTATTTCAGTTGTATTTGGGTCAAGCACCAAGTTATCGATATTATTCATTGCATCACCTCTCTCTCTCTTTTTTTCAACACGCTGCTAACTATTGCTGTTGCATCTTTTTCCAACTTCCATTGCAGAAAATTTCGTTTTTTTTTTCGATTCAAACATAAAAATCGCCGAGTAAAATTTCAGTTATTTCTTTTTAAAGCAAAACTTTTTGTTTCATTTCAGCGAAAATAATTTCCTGTGCAGAGAAAAAACTTTGTTGGTCATTCGTTTGTCATAAATTCGAATAGTTTGGCATATTTTCAAAGCAGCAGATTGAACAGAGCAAATGACGGAGCCATCTGTTGCAATTCGATTCGGATATTCAAGTTGCGAAGCTCGTGGTTGCAAAAAGTTTCACTCTTCCGTCCACCTATCGCAGAACATGTAAGAGAACTTCCATTTCGGCGAACTTTTGCAGTTAAGCTCCCGTTTGATGGAAAATACGTTATTTTAACGCGGAGTGCATTTTCCACACAGCGCATGATCGGGCATAGACACTTTAACACAGTGTTTGGTTCGGGCCAACTTGTTGCATCTATGGAAATAACGGATAGAATCACCAATTTCATTGGACAGAAAAGCTTTATGTATTCAATTCATGGATCTACAAGGAAACGTTTACATGGATAAAAGCTCGGTTGCAAAAGCTTAATTCAATTGTGTGTATGTCAGCACCATTAGCCGTGATTCGCTCAAAATAATGGCGCTTTGTTTATTACAGTTTATGTATTGTATAAGTTGTTGAGTGCAAAATTTACAAAACATGTAAATACACAGACTCGGTGCCAGTGCGTGCCTATGTATTAGCGCGTATATGAACAGTAGCCGTTTGGACAAACGCATAGAAAATAACACATTTTACCCAAATTTCGGTGTAAATTCATCTTAGAATAGTTGAAACCTCTATATTGCCACAACTCAATATTAGTCTTTAGACTCAAAAATGCTGGCTGAATAAAGTAGAGGTTTGGCCGGAAAATATAAATTCAGATGAACAATCTGACAATTGAAGCTTTTCTTTTCTCTAACTTTGTGCATTCAATTCAATTTTCCCATTAAATCTACGAACTTTCAAACTGCTATTAATGTTTGCCGCAATCTCAACGGCGGTAATTACTGTTGTGTATAATCATTCGGTGAAGTCGGTTGCATCGTTCGACGGTAAAGCATCGGATTAAGCTACCCAACAATAAAGTCAATTTAAATACTTAATCCCAAAGATATTTCAAAATTGCAAAAATTGTCATAAAATCTGATGCTAACGTTGCAATCTTTGTGAAAGAGTGGAGTATTGACAAAAACTGCAAGATTTATCGTAGGATATATGCACAAATATGGATGGAGAAAATGGATACGAACTCAATGTGTTCGACATATAAACAAGTATGTTATACTATACATTTATCGAATTGCATATTACTCTCTTTCAATGTTGAGGCTTAAAAGTCAAGTAAATAATGAATATTTGACTTACCCACAGCGTCAAATATAAATATTGTTATGGATGCTGTGATTGTTGTTGGTATTGTTGTCCACCGATGAATGCAGCGTGCGTGATGTTTCTCACATATTTACCACGATTCATGGATTCCTGTATGCGCTCGTTCTCTTGTCGGACGATATCATCAATTAGGGGTGCCATCCTCAGAGTGACTCCGACCAAAAGCAAGCACATTAGCAACAGTAGGCATGCAGTAGCAATGATTGTCCATCGAGCTCGTTGTGACATATCTTCTGGATCGATAACCTGTACAGTGAAAGTAAAGATGAACAAATGGAAATTTAAGGCTTAGTTTGACACTTTGACACAAACAGCAGTGTAAGATTTGAATGGAAGTTCGGTCTTTAATTATATTCAAAGTAAATTTGAAGACAAATTTTCAGTAAAGAGCATATAAGCTGAGTCTAATGCGAATAACATCCCTTTCACTCTAACAGCAATTTGTATATGAACAAATCAACGTGACAGAGAGTGTGAGAGAGAGAGCTAATGCATACAACCGCTTTTAGACGGGTAACATTTGAACGCCTGTATAACCGTACCGGATTACATTGCTTCAAAAGGCATTTTTGTTTTTTAAGGTGTCCTCTATAATTTTATCTTTTACACTATTCGTTTACATACAACCCTCTAATGCATTAATTTTTTATCAGATTACGATCTGTGAGCAATTGCAAAAAAGCAGTTCAAAAGAACGAAAAAAAAAAAACTGAACGAGTCAACAAAAGTTTGTTACCTTCACAACCTGTTCGTCCAAATCGTGTAATAAGATTTTTCGTTTGTGTCGTTTTTTTCGCCCATTTCCGTGATGATGATGGTGGTGGTGATGATGATGACGATGCCTGCAATTAATCACCGGGGAACAATTGTATAACACAAAAAAAAAACAGTGAAAAAAAGCGCACACACAAGAGAAAGGGTGTCCCGCTTGGACACAGTGGTTGCAGTCGACTCACTTGTGGTTCCGGTGTCGTCTGCGTCTATCGTTTGTGAAATCGTTATTACTATCAGTCTCCATCTTAAGTGAAACATCATACATTAATTCATCGTTATAACGCAATTGACTGTGACAAACGAAAACGAGACAGAAAATTAGCTACAGATGAAAATAGACGGTTGGTTGTCATTCTTACATGGGTTGATTTGGCGGCATACTTAAAATACAATGCTGAAGATGACTTGGGGATGGATAAACTAACATCGGTTCAGAGCGTCTATGTGTTCGTCCTGACGATTTGACCAAAATTACAAAACATTCATTTTGTGTGTATATGTGTGTGTGTCTCAAAGAAAGCATTCATTTCGAATGAGAAACGAGAATGCAAACGAATAGAAGGGAAAAGAAAAGAAGAACTCCAAAAAAGAACTCACTGTATTTGCTTCGATCGTCCTGAGCGGCTTTCTTGTTAGAATTGTGTTCGGCCGAAATGTCGTCGCCTTCATCGATTGGGCCATGATTGTCGCGTTCGCATTTGTTGCTAGTTACGTGTTTTTGCTTGAGCATCGTTGTTGTGGCCGATGTAATCACAGGTAAATTATTTGACGTTAATTGATTAAAACTAGATATAAAACCATGAGATTCATTATTCGCATTACTACGCTTAGGTACGCTTTTGTCTTTTTTCTTAAAAAATGTTTTACTACTCCGTTTTGTCGATTTAGCGACAGTGGCAGCCGCTATTGCCGCTTGACTATTACTCGACCGTTCATCGGTGTCGTCTCTACTTGGATCGTTCATCTTTGTCGTCGTCGTCGTCGTCATTGTCCTCATCGTCGTCGTCGTAGTCGTTGGATCTCTTATGTTCGATGGTGAATTGCTGAGTGTTGCATTCACACTGTCATCTGATGTATTTTGCATAGAAAACAATCTCTGTGGCAATGGTGATTTATTCGCTTTGCCGGCTGTTGACACTGAAAATAGTCCAGTTTGTGTTTAAAACGGTCATTGGTTGGTAATAATTTTTGTCGAGGATATTGAATCAATTTATCAATCGTATTTCTCTCTCTTTCTCCCTATTTCTTGTTCGATCGACATACAACATTGAGTGTTCTATCGAATTGATGAGCGGAACACAGTATCGAATGGTGCATTCTTGAACTGAATTGTTGCCTTGAACTAATGTAACATTTAGCACATTGGTCGGGCGTGCAGTGACGAACTATCTCAGTCCGGATGGAATATTTGCAGAAGATTGAAACGTTTGAAACATTTTCGAATATAGTTTAAACGCGTCAATATAAAATTGGGAGGAAATAAACTTAAAAGTGGAAAGACCGTAAACTATTCCATTTCATTTTGATTGCAGTTGAGGCGAATGACGAAGCTTGTTTGGTTTACTTGCTGATTTTGGATATCAATGCACGTTGAATTCGTTTTTGAAAAGACACTGTGCTCATTTGCTAACTATAGTTGGTATACCAACGCAACAAAAAAGAGAAAGGAATAGGAAGCCTTGATAAAATGTTGACGAGTTTTTCTCCGTTCTGTAACAGCATCACTCAATTCAATGCATTTTCTTTTACATCTTCACTCACATTGTCTCATTCATTTGATGCAATCTTTTGTTGTTATGTTATCAACAGGCAGCAACAAAAAAGAGAAACCAAGAGAGAACGAAAAAAGACCGAATGGAATCGAGAGGGTAGTGGGGGCGAATCGTTTCACTGGCGATATCTCGCGACTGGCAGCAAAATATGTCAAAATGAAATGAAATATTTGGAAACAACTTAGTCCCGATCAAGCAAACAGTTAGCGTTTAAATCAAATAGTTAGCTCTATTGATATACTCTCAGGTAGTTAAAATCAGATGAACAGTTAATTTTAAATCAGATAAAGGGTTAGTTTGGAGTAGAAAATAGATAGTATTTTATTCAGAAAAAATTAGTATTTTAATTTCAGTTGAGACCATGCATTATTTTAATGGGCAGCTCTTGCCCATTTGGTCAAAACTCAAAAATGGGCAGTGTTTTACTTAAATTTTCTTGAAAATGGGCAGCTCTAAAAATTTCTTAAAATAATGCATGGTTGAGACTCATAGTTTTCATTCACACACAAACGGGAAAATTAAAAAAAATGTGTTTTCGGCACATGCTGTTGTGACATTTTGTGACTTTAGGATTTCAAATAACTACAATAAATTTTTATTTTGCCCAAGTAAGAATGTAAGTGATTTTTAGAGCTAATGTCGAGTACTTTCGTAGAAATACAAAATTTTGGTTCTTGTTTTTGAATATTTCGTAATATCGCCTTTGGCAATCGAACATTCCAAACGAACTTTCAACCCCGAATCGGAGCTGAAGTTAAGGTTATATCAAGTTGAAATATTCACAATATTTATAGGATTTTTTATTGACTTTCCAAATATGAAATCAGTTTGGGGTGTTAAATGGGGATTTTACCCTTATTTTGCCTTAAATTGATATTGTTGGCATTTTTTCTACCTTTTGAGCTCCCCAAGACTCCCAATGGTAAATATAGGCCCCAATTAAGGTTTCATTTGATTTGTAAAAGCGTTCTAAGCATATAGTATCTCAACACATCATTAGCTTCAACTCACTTTTTTCATGACAAAAATGCATAGATATGCCAAAAACCCTTAATTTCATCCCTTCAAGCTAAAAAGCTTTATAATTTATCTCAAAAGTTGCGCATTTACAATACCTATCAATTGACATATTAGGTTGTTCAAAATGCCTAACTGGAACGGAGATATCTGGATTTGAAAAAAAGTGGAACGATTCGCCCCCACTTCTCCTAAAACTGAATTCAAACAGCAGGTATTTTTCGTTAAAATGGCTGGAATAGAAACTTTAAAACATAGTGAGACGGGAAATAATATTGGCGATTGCTAACAGAAAAAAAAAATGAGAAAAAAGACAAAGAAGAACAGCAATTGAAAAAAGACGTACCATTGAAAGTTTGCCGTTGTGTCAATATGGGGCTGCATTGAGCGCTTATCGATTTTGCCTCGAGCAAACGTTTCTGATGTCTTTGTTCTTGATCATGCAAAGCCATTGCATTGGCGGCTGGTGCACTTAAAGCGGTATGTTTCATTGAACTAGGCACGCTAATCGTATCGCTGCCATTTTTTCGCGCTCGTAACTCTTGCTGCTGGTGATGGTGGTGGTGCTGCTGTTTCGGATTGATTTCATCGCTCACTTCGATTTGGCTAACAATGCTCGGACTTTTGCTATTCGTTGCTGTGCCCGTCGATTCAACATTCAATTCGATGATGCTATCATCATTTTTCGATTTTGCACCATTCGCTTCCATCATGGGAGTTCCGCTAATATTTTGACTATTTTCGATTGTGTATCGCGAGCGATTTTTCACATTTACGTTTGATGTGTAAAATTCATTGTGATCGTGCGTTGTATTATTGTCATTGTCGCCTTTACCGCCCGTGCAACGTTCACAACGTTCATTCACCACATCAATGTGACATTTGGTTGATTCAACTTCGGGCAGCGTGTCTTTTTCCACAATGATTCCCTTCCCGCTGCGATTTATCGCCACCATCGATTCGCCACGCTCTTGATTATCAAGTAAAATGCTCACAGCAATTTGGTTGCTTCGATTGTCATCGTCACTCTTACGCATACTTTCTTTGGAATCTGTCACCGTGACTTGTGCGCTGATTGATGGATCTGCGTCATCAGTTGCCGTTGCTACAGTTGCTTCGTTTGCACGGCCAGCAGCGTTGTCGTTGTCATCGTCGTCACCGCCGTCACCGTTGCCGTTATCATCATCACATTTATTCGTTCGATCACGATAACGATTGCCAAAAATCAACGAACCCAGGCAATTCTGTTGTTTGCGTCGTTGTTTTGCCACTTTTTTCGCCTCGCATTCACGTTTGATAGCGAGAATTTTTTTCTGCACCAACGTTGACAGCAGATTTTCATAGCTAATCGCACTCTCGGCATCGGTCATTGTATCCGTTGTGCACACCGCTTTGTCAACCTTCATTTTTTTTATTGTTTCACAATGTTTTTTCCCCTCTCACTCGATGCGTATACACAAGATTCTTGGGCACTTTATTTCGATTTGAACGTTTCGTACGTGTGTGTGTATGTGTCAATGAGTATTTTTGCACGACGAAAAACAAAAACAAAACGGCTTATCACAAGATTAATCCGAGAGCCCAAAACTCAGTGAAAGGCGAAAAACAACCATCACATCTACGCCATATTCTTATTTTGTGTGATCAAATAGATGCGCATTTATAAACGCGTGACATTTTAATTACTCGCATTTCACTACCTTGAACTTTTTACACCGTCAGCCCGCAGAGCAATCGCCGTCGCGCATTACAAATTCCTGTTCACTCAGCGCTCAGTTTTTCGCTTTCGGATCGCTTCGTTATTGTATTCCTCTGACAGTTTACTCAGCGCTCGGCTCCACACTCACGTTCTCTGCGTTTTTCTGTTATCTGAAATGAAATTTGTTGACAGTTTGTGTTAATTACTGTTACCACACCATAAACTTTATAGCTACAATGCTTTTTTTTTTATCTTCGTTGCGCTTTTTGTGTTACAAACGGAACACATTCAACACATTCATGTGCCAGATAAAGCAAGAGAAATTCTTTTAATCAAAATATAGTTGGTATAAAATTCTCATCGGCTTCTGACTGTTATAAATTCTATATGTATTGCTTCAAATATGGGATAGACCGAAGCATTTGTGAACATTTTTGGAGGTTGGAAAACTTTTTGCGAACAAATTGATTTCACCAAGAGAAGGAGAAAGAGAAAGAACACTGCAATAAAAAGTCACACTGGTTAGGGACAGAACAAAGTTTGCTCAATACCCATTGACATAATTTGTTTGGTTTTTCCATGCTCATTTCCAAAGAAAATGTCCTATACACAGAAAGAGTTTAATCTTTTATGGTCTTTTCAAACTCTTAAAACATATATATCTTTGGACTGTATGGAATTGTCAATTCAAATAATGGCATTTGACACGAACAACAGAAAGAAAATTCATTGGAAGGAATGCCGCGTAAAATTTCACAAAAATCGAAAAAAAGAAGAAAAAAACGCGCACACCTCTGTTATTTCAATAGCACGAAGAGGGAATGATGGTGCAAAAACATTTGAACATGCCATTTTATCGCAGCGGGACATGGTATTTATTCGAGTTCATTTCGACTATAAAATAAAAGCTTATGCACGTAAACCGTATTTAATTACTTTAGTGAATGATGAAGTGATTGTTCGATTTCCGCATTCCAAAGCCTGCGGCCAAAAGCCCCCACAAAAGCTTTCGCACCATTAAAACCTCAAACGATACATATTCCGATGCCTTTTCGCTTGCTATAAATGTGAACTTCCCTCTTCACACTTATTCCAATCACTTGAAACAACCTCATGCGTTTTATAAATCATTCGATTCGAAATGGGAGCAAACATCTAGCTCGATGCTTGTATTGAATAGAATCGCTTTGAAAAAACATATTTGTTGAGCGGAAAACCAAAATGAAACCCAAAAGCGAAAAAAATATCGCATGCAAAAGAATGATTTCAAAACGATGTCACGCAAAAGTACAACGAACTGTTGTTGTTGTAATCATGGCAAAATTTAAACTGAAGTGGCTGCTATTTATTCAATTTTTTCATTTCCTGGCTTTGGAGAGATTGTATTTCCTTTCTCGAATATTTTCCCCTTCGATTGCATAAAGCGATTGAATATTCGCTGTGAGTTTTGTCTCTTTTCACAGAAATATTTTGATTCTGTAACATTCTCAAAGCTTGAAATAACATTGGAATTTCTTCGAAGAAATATTTTTTTGGTTTTGCAATAGGGATATTTTGTTATTTTGGTGCAAAATGGAATATTTTTAAAATTGTAAATTTGGCTCTTGCTCATTTGTATATCTTTTCATTAAAAATCGAACCTTGTTGTTGTTTAAGAATTTAAGAAGCCGTTTGCCTATAAAAAAGGTCAGAGTCTATTAATTGTGCAAATATCACATACATATATTGCGTCTTTTGTTTGTAGCTTTAAAGAAACCATCTAGACAAGAAAAAATAAACAACCGAAAATACACTTATCACAGAAGTAGATTAACCACATAAAGCAAGCGTTTGACGATTTGCAGAGTTAGCAAAAAGCAATGGTGTTCATATTGCAATAATTGTAACGTAATCAAAAAATAACGTATTTATAAGTTATGATTCATACCATTTATGTCAGATTATGAAAGTTGAGGACAATGTGCCAGCTACAAATAGTGCCATGTCATTATTATTATTACTATTTGTTTCATTCATACATGTGATATACTGCCAATTTTTGCATCGTGTTTACAAACATTCAATTTTTTTTAATCGTTCAAAAGGTTACTTGATAACGTTTATCTGCATTTATATAAATCGGCTTCTTCATCGAGCAGCGAATGCAAAGAAATTCAGTAGTTGAATATTATTCCTCAATCTAGGCAGCCCAGACTAGGCTCATTGCAGAACCAAGCGAACGTGTCGAGAAAATAAATTAATTGATTTGGAATATTCATAGTTTGCGTTGATGTCAAAAGTATCAAATTTTATCGGGATGTCGTTTCCAAACGAACAAAATTCCATCCAAAGTAAAGATACCAGTCAAAATGTTCCCATTCGGACATTGTTTGTTGCTCTAATTGAAGAACATGTAAGAATTTCCATTGAATTTGAATAAGGATTGTTCTTTCACAATTTTTTCAAGATAAAATAAATATTATTTATTGACCCATTAATGGAATTTCAGATAACCGAAGACATGGTCCGAAAATATTTCAGTATTTTTGGTGATGTGGAATTGGTGGAAATACATTATAATAGATACAACAAGTTTGGATCTGGTTTCGTGCAATTCAAAGATGATGCAGTATGTGTCTTGAATCACAGGAGAGAACATTGCATTGAAGGATGTCATTTTAGTGTTAGAGCAGCTGATATGTTGTGTCAACCAGATTTTCAACGGTCTTTTGGTCCAATACCCGAACAAGATTCTGCATCACACATTCTCGTTGCACTGAACGATGACTGTTTACATGAAGTATTCAAATATTTGAATACAATTGAACTGTCATGTGCGGCCGAGGTTTGTGTTCGATTCAATCAAGAGGCGAAAATTACATTTGCACGAAAATACAGGAATTTGGACATAACATACGGTAGTTCTCTCACAAAACGAACCGCTGAGTGTTTATTTCACAACTTCGGATCGCTGATTCATTCGTTGAGTGTTAATGCCCGGCTATTGGAATCACAATCGGATTTCCTGGCTTTGGTCAGCGTTCAGTGTACACGATTGAAAGAACTAAGACTAACATATTTTAATATAGATTTCGTTGAACAAAGTGATTTGCGAAACAAAGTGCGACCATTGTTCCGCTTGTTACAAAAGCTTCATTTAACAAACTATCCTAATTTGGAAGATATGCAAAAATTTCTGACAACATGCAATGAACTAAAAGTGCTACGCATCGAATATTGCCACATTGGTGAGGGTAATTGTCTCAAACAAAAAATCGGAAAATTAGAGGAGTTTTATTTTTCTAATAACAAATGTTTTGGCTGTGTTGAAAATGCATTGAATCGATTCATTGCTAATAATTCATCTTTGTTGAAGTTATCTATAACGTGTAATAATTTCTGCAGCTTGGTGGAGACTGGTCGTCTGATTAGGCAGCATTTACCAGATTTATTGGAGCTAGAATTTGATGAATACTGTCGAAATGATTTCTTACAAGACATAAGCCAAGTCAACTCCTTACGAGTGTTGAAAATTAATTTGAAGCAGGGAACGGCCACAGAACTTATGAAATATTTGATCGAGAATGAAACACCGATTGAACATCTCCAACTTTATGGTACAAAGATTGATGACGAAGTGATCGAACACATTTCGCAGATGAAACCACTCAAGATTATGGATTTATCTCGTATTAAAATCAATATTATTACTTTGAAGAAGTGGTTACTTAATGCACAACAATTGTCACTTTTAAAGTTGGCGTTATGCTATCGAGATACTATCGATATAGATAATTACAATGAAATTCTCAATGCGATTAAAAGTCGACGAGAAAAATTCAAACTTTCGATTGAAATTACGAATTGCGTGGTCGATGTTCCAAATGAAATATTGGTAGCAAATCAGGAAATATTCCACATTAAAATTAGAAAATACAATCGAAAGGCGGAAGTCTTAAGAACTTTGTTTTTTGGGCCCCTAAGATCTTAAGTTTTCTCACTTTTGGAGAAGAAAAAAAATTACCAGACCTCCCCAATTAGTTCATTCGCTATCAAATTAAGTCTGACACATTTCGATTTTTTCTGCCAAATTGGACTATTTCTAAGCATTTTAGAATAAAGTTTGACTCTTTAGATTTATTCTATTTTTTTCATACCATTTTTGATATTAGGGTCTTGAAAGGTAAGAAAACTGTATGTTTTATAATCTAAAAAAAAATAAATAAACGTCTCGTAAACATATATTTCAATTCATAAATAACCATTCATTTTGTGATTGTCAAATCACAATATTTAATTAATTGTCTTAAAATTTAATCAGCCGACTTGTTGAACCACTACGTTTGAAAGAAATACAGTTGAACGAAAATAAACCCAAATAGTTTTGTCTCGAAGTCGCTTTGCTGTATTTGAGCTGTCTGAATGCTCAATTTCTTTGAAGTTAAATTCCCTTCACTTTGCACATTAGGGTCGAAAGCGTATTATTGTTTCCGGTATTCTGTCAGTTTTGTCAAAACCATAAGTCTTCACTTTGTCTCTTGTTACCCATTGTATGGAAATTCGCATCGGATTTGTCCGTGTACAACCAATGATATGCATGCAAATGATCTACATTCGCTTTTGTTTCGTTGCACAGTGCAACGCTGGCTGGTCGTCGTGGGTGGTCGTATATTTTCGCTCTCTTCCTTTGTCAATTTCGCTGTTCGCAGCAAATGTTTGTCATTATCAAAACTTTTCTTTTCTTTTTTTGTAAAAAAAACTACAATTCAAATTTGACACAAAAGAATTTCAAACATATATATGTTTGAAAGGATGACTGTGCAATGTATCACAAGGACGATGGGAAATCATCATCATTCTCTCTCTTCCTTTCTTCTGCTCTATTATAAAATCTTACGTTCAATATAAGCTGAATGGTGTCTTTTTCAATAACCACATATGACTTTCAAAAAAAACCAAATCCCACTCCGTTTGCCACTTTTGACAATCGTAAAAATCACACAACTTTATTGCAAAACTAAATTCTGCTTGGCTAACAAATGTTTATTCGCATCAACAAAAATATGCTTTTCGTTCGTTTTTTTTGACTTCCAACTCGATTTCTTCTTATCCTTGAATTCGTTTGTTCTTTGTTCGTTCGTCTCGCTTGAATCGCGTGAGACCAAATCGTATTAAATTGATGTGTGATTACATTTCCCAGCAAATGGATACGGAAACGTGTTTAATGTGAAAGAAAACGGTTGAACGGCACGTCCGTTTCATTTGATGGAAAATTTGATTCTTCGTTGAAAATATTTCCGTACCAAATGAGTGGTTGATCCGCTTTTATTTCAAATGTTGAAAATCAATAAATAATGATGATTTCCCATCGTCCTTGTGATACATTGCACACTGCACAGTGCACAATCATCCACAGTGTTTCTCTCTTGATCATTTTCAATCTTCCTCGTTCTCGTTTTCACTCGCTATCGCCACTGCCATTTCAATCTAGCCATGGCATGGATGTCATACCAAATTCTCAATGGAACATTATTTATCTTTTGTGGCACGTTGGCCACATATAATATAGAGCTGAATGAAGTTTAAATTTTAAAACGTAATTAAGCACACTCCCAACTCTCAACGTGCAAATTTACTTCGCATTCACATTATATTCAAGTTTACTGCAAATGTCACTCAATGAAGCAGCGGACTTGTCGGCATACTCGTGGATTCAGCATTTCACTTGCTTTAGCGATTCGTGAGTTGCCGAAGCATCATATATGCAGTGCACTCGATATTTAACGTGAAAACCTATGTATATTCGGTACATCGAAGTTGGCCGAGGTATGATTTTGTTTGCGCGTAGCGCGTAAGCAATTCACTTGCGATATATAGTATATAGGGATTCACATTATATCGCAAGTGAATTGCTTACGCGACGCCCAAACGAAATCATACCTCGGCCGACTTCGATGTACCGAATATAGGTTTTCACGTTAAATATCGAGTGCACTGCATATATGATGCTTCGGCAACTCACGAATCGCCAAAGCAAGTGAAATGCTAAATCCACGAGTGTGCCGACAAGTCCGCTGCTTCATTGAGCAACAATGTGTGCCACACGTAAATATTTTAATATTAAAACAAAATACGTACGCACACATCCACACACACACACACACACACACACACACACACACACACACAAATGCAGCAGTTACTTCAAATACATGGAGCCACACGTACGGCCACATCCACCGAGCGAGTAATTATACATTAGGTATGAAACTGTTATCGAAGCCATTTTCTGAAATTGCATAATGATAGAGCACATGTGTCGAACAAATTTATGCACAATCATGTATCAACATAAGCACATGTAACTCTCTGTTGTCTGCCATTTTTCCCCTGGTTAATTGCTTAAATTGCCTTATCGTAATAATCAACTAAAAAGTTGTTGGTTATTTATATTTTAATTTAATTATTTCTCTCCACCCACCGGCCGAATGGTCCGCAACCAAATTTTGTTCAATTGACAAGCTGCTGCTTCTGCCGTTACATTTCGTCATCAACATCAGCACCACTGATGAGGCTATTTAAATGCACTCCATTCGAAATGACATTCAAAAATACCAGTTTGGTTTCGATTTTAACCAGATTTTCATTTTTAATTGAAATTCATTCTATATTGACAAGCAAAACATATTCCAAATGAATAGCCTCTATTAAAATAATTCGCATTTTGTACATTTGAAAACTCCATCTCTCTTTCTTTCTCTCAATTCTGGTCGCTTGAAATGTTTCCGGTCAGTTCTAACATTTTTATCCCGTTTGTCTTGTGTTATGAGGTTCATTCCTTTTGTTCACATTTTCAAGAACGGAATTAAATTTTCAGGAATACACACAATCACCAGTCGATATTACCGATCATAAATGAACCAACCGTAGTACGATTTTCCTTTGATTACCGAATAATCAATCAAATTGTATTATTCTTATATCAATCACATTGCAACTTATGTATTTGGCCGTTGTCGTTCTTTTTTATTTAATAAAGTTTGATTAATTCAAAACTCTGTTCAATCAATCAACGTGTTTGAAACAAAACAAAAACAAGTATTCATTCATTGGCTACAGAAGATTAATATTCATCCGTGCAGGCGGTTTTTCAAGTGTGATTTAACGAAAGTGATCATGAACAGAAATACAAAAATCAAATCGAAAAAATGTTTACAGAAAAATTGCGATTTATTCAACATGTTCATTTGTATTTAAAAAAAAAAAGGAATTTAATGTATGAGTGGCATTGACCGTGCCCATTCAACATTCTAATATCAGCGTGAATTCAATTTCGACATTACTTTCATAGATGTTATTCATGCAAATGCTGATGCAAAAATGCCGCATGTTCCTATTGATATGCCAGATCATTTATCGATCGGAATTGGCTATAATTTCATGAATAATTGCCATACCCATTTGAAAGTCACGTATGATAAATTTCGGTTTTATTGGGATAATTGTGCTACGTGGACATGGTACCTAAGTGTATGTTGTGTATAACATTTTAGGGTAGCCTGTTTGTTCCGACAAAACCATACTATCCGTTGTCTGACCATCCGACCGATTCAATTTTAGGAAAACCACTTTTACCGAATCATGCAAGTCAAATATCGAAAATCTATTTTTGGAAAATGGCCGTTTCTACTGGATTTACATCGATTGCATTGTAATGGCAGGCAATTTATTATTTCAACTAATTCTTCAATGTGAACTCATGAAATTCAGCTATGATAGCAAGATAAATCGATTCAACTTTAATGAAAAACCATTTGCAAATCACATACGCACACTTTATTTTGGTTTGGAATGAGAATGTGAAATAAACGTATGTCAGAGTGTGTGATTTCGATTTCCAATGAAAACCCATGCAGATCGAGATTATTCTTTGGCCACTTTAATTGGGTTAACCTTTGCTAGTTAGCTAGTTTCTATCAGCAATCAAATTGTATGTTTTTTTTTTCATTTTCTGATGATTAGTTTTCGAATTCCATTTCTTCGTCTTGACCAGTGCAAGTAACGATGAAACTTCAAAGAACATCATACCTGATATAGCAAAGAATCGTGCTTTTTTGACAGATGTACTAAATTGAATGTTTTTGATGTCGCCATCTGGTTGGCGATACTTATAATTATCTTCTCGCACGGTTCTGATGAAGATTTTATTTATGGTTTATCCAATTTTATACAAAATCACTATTTCATTCATAAACACAATTTAGAAAAGAAAATCACGGTTATCTCGACTTTTTGCATTCAAAATGCCTATAACATAAGAGTGAAAAAAATTTCATCATCAAAACACGGCACGTTGCATTTCAATCAGTATCGTCGGTCAAAAGAAAAGCTTGGTATGCTCGAAAAAGCATTTTCAAAACAAAAACTACAATTTTTCACTAGTTTCAGCTGGGTTGTTAACTATACTTGCAACTTCTCAAAGCTCATGAAATTGTAATTCATTTTGTAGTACGAAACGGCTCACCAAAAACATGTGGAGCAAACAAAAAATTGGAATATTAAATTTGCATTTTCCTATGACAAATATTGGAAATAGACAGAGACAGAGACAGAGAGAAAAAAAATTGCTTCTTGTCCGTTGTGTATTGTTGCCACTCGTGAATGGAGAGAGTAGTTGAATTGGTAGTAAAAACACGTTTATTAACTTGCTTGCGAAATGTGAATATAACGAAAAATGATGGTCTTATGTGTTGTGCCCGCTTTTAAAAGCCAAAAGCAACAATGGAATATTCAGAAAGTGCAAATTGGCATAGAAAATTCGTTGCTGCTCATAGAAATAGAGCCGAACAGCAGCAACAACCGAAAAAAGTTCTGAAATGAATGTGCACAAGATTGAATTCTTGTAATTGGCAATCAGTGGTGAAACAATGCCTGCATATATCACAATTCGAGTCAACCTCAGTGCATCGAGCAGCATTCTGCAGCAGAGTGCACAGCGTTAAAAAATACGGGAGAGGGAGAGAGTGCAAGTGAACAACTGTGATAGGTGACAGAATGACTAGGTGTGTTGAATTTTAATATGCCACATATAAGCCACATCTAGGAAATGATGCAGCATCTCGATATTGCCTCTCTCTCTAAGTACAAATTCGAGTTTCCCTCTCTCTCTATCTCTCTGTATCATTTTGCA